GTACGTAACATTTAGTTTTAGTTAAGTTAGTAGTTAGTAGTACTATATTATTATGACTACGTACGTACGTACTAGTAAGATATCGTATCCTTACTTATATATATATATATATATATATATATATATATCTTGTTTAAGGCCTCAACTTTACAAAAACCACACCCTTTAAAAATAAAAGTACGAACACAAGATAGAAGTGAGGCAAGAAGCCCAAATAGTACACTTTCTATTACTAATGACATGATTTATACAAAACTAAAGAGTGATTTGTATCAAAATATATACTATTGCAAAAAGTTAACAATTAAAAACAAATCAAGGAATAGCTTCAAGAAAGATTTGAAGTGAGATGCATTAAATGCTAGAAATGATACAAAATAAATTATTTATGAATTGAAAGACAAATCTAAGTACGAAATCCAATAAAAGATTTTGTACTATAATCACAAATTTTGACATGAAAATTAAGAGAATAAAATAAATTAAATGAGAAATATCATTACTTTCAAACACATTTAAACAATAGTAAAAATTCAAGAATTATAGAAAATACAAATAGATAGATAAGACATCTTGTTTAGAAAAATTTAATCTATCGAAACTTAATAATTTAAATATCAAGAAATTGATTTAAGGAAGAATTGATGTGAGATGCATTAAATGCTTGATATTATATTTAATTAATTTTTCAAGAAATGCATGACAAAAAGGTAAGCACGAAATCCAATAGAGTTTGTACTATGATCCAAAATATTGACATAAAAATTAAGAGAAAAAAATTAAATGAAAAATATCATTACTTTCAAAACATTTAAATAATATAAAACAATCGTCAATTGTAGAAAATATCAATAGATAGGTAAGACGTCTAAGTTGAAAAAATATAATCTATGAAATCAAAAAATTTAAAAAGCAAGAAATAGATTTAAGGAAGATTTAAAGTGAGATGCATTACTTGACATGATATTTAATTATTTTTTTAGGAAATGCAAGACATAGAGGTCAGCACGAAATCCAATAAAAGATTTTGTACTATCATCCAAAATTTTGAAATGAAAACTAAGAGAATAAAAAATCAAATGAAAAATATCACTACTTTAAAACACACTTGAATAAATATAAAAAAAATTGTCAATTGTAAAAAATATAACTATGTACGTAGACATTGTGTTTAAAAAAATATTTCTATTAAATCTTAATAATTAAAAAAAAAATCAAGAAATAGATTTAAGAAAGCTTTGAAGTGAGATGCATTAAATGTTTGAAGATGTTAAATTAGTTTTTGAAGAGATGAAAGACATAAATATAATTACGAAATCCATAAAAATTGTTGTATAAACCAAAATTTAATCATGAAAATTAAGAGAATAAATAAATATAGACATTGTGTTTAAAAAAATATTTCTACGAAATCTTAATAATTAAAAAGATCAAGAAATAGATTTGAGAAAGCTTTGAAGTGCGATGCATATAATGTTTGAAGATGTTAAATTAGTTTTTGAAAAGATGAAAGACATAAATGTAATTACGAAATCCATAAAAATTGTGTGCTATAAACCAAAATTTAATCATGAAAATTATGTGAATAAATAAATAAATGAAAAACGTCATTACTTTCAAACACTTTTAAATAATATAAAATAAAAACATCAATTTTGTAGGAGCTATAAAAAGATATATAACACATTTTGTTTAAAACATTAATACATGAAATCTTAATAATTAAAGAGCCATATCCTTAGTATTGCTCTTAGGTCTACTAAATCAATGTACCTTAATATTGCTCTTAGGTCTACAAACATTACACACACACAAACACATATATAATATTGCTCTTAGGTCTACACATGGATACAGGTTTATCGTTCCCCATGAGCCAAAAGGGAACTAAGTGCTACAGCATGGGGCAACTCTCCCAGTTGCACCCCGTGGTAGGAAAATGGGAACCGAGGTCATCAATCTAAATCATCCTATCACAGAGGAAGTGATTCTTAGGCCAGGACACAATGATGTCATAGATACTAAGCAAAGTGGTTCAGAGTAAACCCAACCTGATCAGGAGGGGGAAGACACTCCTTGATCCCTTTGCGATTAGTTAAGACCACTAGTAATCTGAGGAGAACCGAAGCTTCAATAATTAGCCTCAATCAAGTTTCTTTCTTTGTCTTTTCTTTTTCCTTTTTCCTCCTATTAAGAAAGTAATCCTCGATCGGTTGGACCGACAAAATTTAGGGACCAACAGCAAATGGCCCATCAAATTAAACTTGTCCCAACCTTCCTAGCATCTTAGTATCACCTCAGGATAGAGAATCAGTGGGGAGTAGAATCTCCCAAGTGACAAGCCACCTAACTAACCCAAGAAAGCCACCTTTAGGAATCAGCCTAACCCACACTCCTCTATGCTCCATCGCTGGTACATAGCACTACATTTCTTAAATCCTACGGTGATCCAGGCTAGGATTGCCCTATATTTTTCAGAAAAAAATAAATTTCAGATATGCAATTTTCAAAATCTTAAAGAGTTTATTTTTAGGGTTTCTAATTCTTTCTTTTAAACGATTTCTGGGGGTAGTTTGGAAAATTAGTAAGGTTGTTATTTTCTTTTCGTCAAAGGCTTATTATTTTATCTATAAAACGTAGTTTGGTCATTTTCGTTTTATATTTTCATTGGAGTCCAATTTAATTCAATTAGATAATAGACTTAGGTTTCATGCAGTCTAAGTTAGGTTTACTCTATAGATAGGGGTTGGTGTAAGGGTTTGAATGACGGTTGGATATAACTTGTTTAGAGAGCCTCAGTTTCACCAGAGAACTATGAAGCTTGGCTTGGAAGTTTCCACCATTTCAATTGAATTCTTAATTCTTTGATTTCATTCTATGAATTCCTCGCTGCATCAAATGGGAATGGGGATCCCAAAGCACCATCTTGCGTCTTAATCCAAGAGGTTCCCTTTCCGAAGTGTCCCACGGGGTATGCCTCATAATATAATATGAATATGTGACATGGTTTGTACAGCACTTTTGACGAGCTGGTCTACGTATGTCAAACATTTATATTTCAACTTTGCTCCTCAAACCATTCACTAAGATATCAATGATTTCAAACAAGGGGAAAGAGAAACTATTGATGGTGACCAAAGGATTAGAAAGCTACTAAACAGGACTTCTGAGCCGCAACCTTTGTTCCACTGCTGCAGAAAAATGCTCAACTGCTTCCTCTTACCAGAAGTAGAAAAGGGGAACCAGAAAATGGCTGACAAAACTTAAAGACTCCCACAAGCACTAGCCCCCTAGGGCTCCTATGAATCAAAAGGAAAGGGAAAGGAGGAAGGACCTGAGTATGGAGGTTGTTCCCCCACTAATAACGAGGAATGCAAAACAAACTCCCTCTCATTGACAAGCTTCTTTTGACTCACCGGTTTGATTTCCTAGGAGGCTAAACTAATGCATAGTGACTGCATATAAGACCTACTTTGGTGGAAACCAAAGAATGTCTTTTGAAATATGTCCTTGTAATCAATGCTTTTGCTGGAGCGTTTCACATGGATCGCAGCACAAATCAAAATGCTCACTAAATCAGCCAATCTTGTTTATACCTGGATCCAAGCAGCGGAAAATCCGAGATCCCCCCTCTCTTAATTTTGATCTTAAACAAATAAATTAATACAAAATGATAGAGAAATGGGTCCCATCAAATTGAAATCTTTAGGATCTGTAGGCCCAAGCGTTACATAAAGCAAGGCAAAATAAAGACAGATAAATGGATTTATTAGTAATCATGAGTAAACAATGGTGAAGGTTTTATGTCAGGTTTTGAGTTTCAGTTTAATCATTCTTGTTTCTTCACTTGTGCCTGTATCAGCCTGGAAACTAAATTTGTGGAGATGCCAGGACCAATGTCGTACAAGTGGCATATACATGGAGAATACATCATTCATTTGAGGGTTTCTCCATCTGAGTATGATTCACATGAAACAATCTATGAGACTAAAAATCAATCTTAATGGTCAGTTAAGCATCAGTTTAGTGGTAAACATATTAGTTTGGGTGAGGGAAATAAGGGGTTCAAACCTTCTGAAGTTTGTCCCAAAAAACCAAACTAGCTGACCCAGCTCTTTCTCGGGAATCAAGTGGCTAGTTATTCACATTTGGAATGCATGTCTTAGGTTTGATTCCTAGCACTGAACAGTCCTGAAAAGAAATTCTTCAGGGGAACAATGTATTCGGGAAAAGTAAACCGAGGCATGAGGGAGGAGAATCAAGAGGAAAGAGAAAACTGGCACATTGACAAGTTCAGTTTGCAGTTTGGATGCAACAGAAAGTACATAAAGATTGCTTTTGACAGGTCTATATCTCTAGGTGATTGGTGAATCTCTTGTCAAGAATCACAAATAGAGTTAAAATACTGTTTTGGCATCAGACGATAACTGATATAAAGGTTGTGGTGTCTGTAATTTAAACAAGCACAAAGGTCTTTAAAATGATCCCGTTACTTGATATAGCATCCAAGGACTGTTTCCACATATAATGGCTGTTACAACATTTTTATAATCCTTGCTTTGTTACATGCTCGACATAGGTGAGGTAGAGTTTAAAAGATTTCTTTAATGCTTAATCAACTTGAGGCAGTGAGAAGCAAATGGAAGATCTTTATTTTAGATTTCCTCCATCCATCATAGGTGGCTGTCAATAGATGAAATATCTACTTTAACGTGGAATAAAAATGAAAACGCTCAAGAAGCAGGGCCATTAAAAGTAACAACCCAGTCAAAAAAAACTCTTCTGATCCTTTAAACTCCAGGCCTGGGAAGGAAAAAGCCTTAGCTGTAGGAAACTTGAAGTAGGGTACATGCCTTCTCCCAAAACCAACAACCCTTTGGCAATGGTTACGTGATTGCTAATAGTAAAGACTCCCAAATGAAATCACTAATGTAATAATTAAGCTCAAGATCAGAATGTAAGAATCTGTATAGAGGACATACCTGTTGCAAGAAGCAAGTACTTAAATAGAAATAATCTCCTCAATTATTCCTTTGACAACCAATATATAAGAAGAAATAATGTACATCCGGCAATAACAGCTGATAGAATAAGTGTGTCCTTAGATCTCTTCCGCTTGATAGCTCCTGCAAATAATAGAACCAGTTAAAATCAAAACAAACTTATACACATTTCTGTCATATAAGAAACACTTGGGAGCAGAGAAAGACCTAGGAGTCCACGGATCACTGGAAATCTATCACTCAATTGCTTCACTTTTCCTTGAATACTTGTAAATGCATTTCTCTGCGCTGTCAATACTCCTTTGAGTGATTCTGCTTGATCGGTTACATCCTCTATCTGGCAAAATACAATACAATGTTCGTTAATTTGCAACCTATCCACCATGGATGAATGGCAGGAGTTCATATCTCAACTTTACCTGGTTTATACTTCCATGTATAGCAGCACGTTCTCTTAAAAGGCCCGGGGCTAATTTTAATGTAGTCGATGCCTATGTAAAATTAAGTTGTCCAGTCAAGCTAGAGATACTAAATAATGAGTAAAACGCAAAAATAGAGAGGTTTCCCTTAATTCACAACTGACCTTATATTCATTTATATCATTACGAACTGATTTAAGGAGCTCGGCATGCTCCCACATTAACATTATATTTCCTTGCGTACGTTTGAATTCCTGGTTAGCAACAGAAATAAAATGTAAGATCAGCCATTCCAGAAACTGCTGGTCAAGCATTCGATAGTGAAAATGAAAGCATCTGTACTATTGCTTTACACTACATTTGAAAATCAAAATAGCATGCTGTATCACAAAAACCCTGATCATAGCATCCAATAGTTCCATTCAGTGTGACCAATCCTTTCTCCTTTTTCTAACAATCCAACAGTTCCATCCAGTATGAACAGTCTTCTTTTCCTTCCTTATCTTTTTTTTGATGGGTAAGGTTATTTCTTTTGGTCCTAATAGTTCCCTAACAATACAAGGGTTAGGTAGGCCTCGAGTAATGCTGTAATAACAATTAGGGAATCCTGCACCCAGAAAGAGGCCTGTTCAAGAGCCACAATGTGAACAATCTCATTACTTGCCAGGTTTACCCCTTCTATAACAGAGACCCAATGCAATTTTTCCCTTTCTTATAAAGAGAATCAAAATCTGCTATTTTAAGATGGCATGCATTTCAACACATGTTAGCTATCACCATGCTAATGTTGCATGTCCAGAAATGGCAATGGGCACTACAAAGTATGAACAGCTATGTGACAAATGTCTTAGAAAGCAGTGGTAGGAAAAAAAACTTTATTACTCCTAATTGATATGGCCAAACCCTATTGCTAACTTCACCACAACAAGAACTGCCAAAGGGGAAGCTAATCATGTGCATGACATTATTATGGATGGCGTAGGTGAATAAATGAATTGTGTGAGTATATTCACTTAGTATACAAAGAGATGCACACAGCCTTTACTGCCTCCTCCTCTTGCAATCAAATTGTTAAGGATTTTGAGTCTATGAGTTAGGCATGACTAAAGCTCCTCACACTAATATGAAGGATTTCGAGTCTATGAGTTAGGCATGACTGAATGTCCTCATGCTAATAGGATCACCAAGTTTAAAATATTATACAAGTTAAATATTGTAATTGTAGCAAATCCCTAAAACAAACGAAATTGATGATTAAAAGAGGCAATAGAAATAGTGGAAAACATTTGCGCATTTCGATTGACATTATACTTAGCGTGCATTACATGGTAGAGGTCTGTTGGGTTTCTTAAATGATACAAACCCAAAACATTTTATTTGTCAGCATTGAAAGATGCCAAGAAAAAAATTTTACCTGAGTATATTCATGAAGAATATCTCTATGTCTTGTAAGCTTTTGCCCCATGGAAATACTTGGGACTGTAGCAGCTGCACATCGACTCATTGTATCATTAACATCCAACAATTTCTCAAGTAGAGCCTGTATTTCCATTTCCATGGATTTCCATTGAATATCTTGGCCATGTGTATCTGTTAGTGATTTTCCATCAATGTAACCTAATGAAGAAAATCATTGGAAAAAACCATCAGATAAAGAAACTGAAATTCCCATTAAAACAAACATCAAACATTTATATACTTTTGATAAGGAAAAAAAAAACAACCTAATTTTCTTTCTGCAAATCAGAAAAAACTATGAACATATACATCAAGTTGCGTTATTAAGAAGAAAAAGGTTTTTCCAAAAAGAGTTTGTCTGCCTGACAAAAACAGGAGTTGAAAAACAATGTTCAATTACTCAAGAAGTATTATCCTTCTCCGAAAAAATCCGTTGATGGGTTCTCCCTAGGAAATCCAGGTCGTTTGGGCTAGGGGGAAGATTGACTAACCACGAAGGAGAACTTCTCTGTTTTTCTAGGTTTCCAGATTACAGGGACTCTACTGCAGAGGTCTATTGCTATCTTGGAGGGTCTCAACCCTCCCTGTCGACCCTAGCATTGATGGCCGTCTCGTGGAGGGGGACTCCAAGAATGTCATCTAGTGGGCTGCTAAAATCTCTCAATCCCCATGGAGGAAAGCTCATTTATTTGACCACATTCGCATCTTATTCAGGAACACTCATGTCATTTTCCACCATGTGCCGAGGGAAGCCAATACAGTCGCTGATATGTTGGCCAAAGAAGATGTTGTGAGGAAGCGATCAGCATCCCCCTCGATACCATGACAGTTCTTATTTCTCCTACTCTTTCCTCTTACAGTCTCTCCAAATGGCAGCAGGATGGCTCCTTTTCTCTATCCCTCCCTTCATCCTACCCTTCTCTTCCTATCGTTCTCTCCGTTCACCTCTCCCTCTTTCACTCTTTCCTCCACTTTTCTCTCTCTGCTCTCTGTTGCCCTTTCTTCCACTGCCTGCTATTTTTTCTCTCTCCGTTCTGCTCTCCTTCACCTCTTCCTCCCTCAGCTACTACCTCCCGATCTTCTCCTCTTCTTAGTAGACCTTACAGATTGCATGCAAAGCAGGTCAGGCCTTAGTTATCAGGATTGGGATGGAATTAGATTTGAGATTGGGATCAGGACCGGGGGATAGTGAGAAACAGAAAGCTCCTTATTGTAGGGATTATAGTCCCTACACCCTGAAATCTGCAGATCTTGATTTTTATATGTGGAGGAGCTCAATGCAAACTTAATCGCGATCCACTATTAACATATACAGGAATGAGCTCCATCTGTTTAAAAATTAAGACTCTCAAGAGCAGATATCAGTTAATGAGTATAGCGGTATAGTATATACTACTATAATAAACAATATGGTTACGCTATACTACAAGGACGCGGTTAGCATGCGGCCAAGACCGCACATATACAAATGCAGGCTTGGCAATAAACATATATTTTAAAATAATTTGATCCTAGTTTTTAGAGAATATATAATCCTTAACATGGAGATCATGAATATGAAAAAAGAAATAAATTTTGAAAACTAGAAATAATAATTATATTAAAAAAACATTTGGACCATTAGTTACAATTGTTTTCAGATGGATCACCTATTTGCATCCATCTTTAAGATCGATGCTTTATACCACTGGACCGCATATTGTACAAATGCGGTCCAGCCCGCATGAAACAATTGTTCACACTACAATGCTATGCCATATATATTCCACTATGCTATACTATATGCTACTATATTTAAACTTACTACATACTACTACATAACACATACTATATTATATAGTATACACTACAATTCTATACCACATTGCTATACTATACTGCTACATTATAATACATACTAGAGATATGGAGCACATGTAACCCAGGACCTCGATCCATAACAGGAAGGATTGCAATCCCAAAATTTCAAGAATCCTGGAGGAGCAAGATTCCATTCCCTAGGGCGCAAGATCGGGATACCAGAGCAGAATCAACTTCTTGGTACGTGGATCCCGGTACCTATGGGTTGGGTTTTTGCCGGTTACTATTTTTTTACTAGAGTCCCAGTTTATAGGCAGCCGGTCTTGGTTTTTAATCTTTTGAAGTTTTTGATCTTTTGGATTTTGAGATCCCTAGATGTGGGAAGCCTCTCTAACTCATGTTTTGTTTCCTCCTCCACTTTCACTCTTAGTAGCTCCCGTTTATGTTTTTTGAGCTCCTGATCTGTGGGTAGCCTGGTTGGGGATTTTTATATTTTGTTTTTAATACTAAAATACAGTCAACGTTCATTCAAAACAAAACAAAAAAGAAAATTATCCATCTCCAAGAAACTAGGTCTTTCAAATAATTCAGGATCTCAGAGTAAAATTAAAATTGTTCCTAATCATTTGGTATCCATGCTCTAAATAAACTAGTAATTAAACAAGACAAGAAGAACAAGTCTGAAGCTAGATGACAGCTGAATGAATCATGGAGCAGATGAACTAGAAAATGAACAGCAGTTGACCTAAAAAAGAGACCATTCCTGATTGTATTTTTGAACAATCAATTCTCCTACAACCCGCACAAGAAATTTAAAAAAAAAAATCCATTAGGAATCTCCTAATGGAAATATCTACAAATCCTCCCTAATACTAGATCTAAATGAGCATAGAACAATATGAGAAAACTAAAATACCATGGAATAAGGATATATCATAGAGAGAAAACGCATCTGTTGACAAGGTACCAATGCAGCGAAATTTCCAACCATGAAGCACAAGCACAATACCAATTTCAAAATTTCAGGATTTTTCAGCTTAGCATTGTAGGGATCTAGCACATTAAGAACTTAGAATAGTTCAAGGAAGAGACTACCAAATTAGATTAACAATCAAAGAAAGATTCATGTAAATTGCGAGGCATATATCACATAGAAGCGATCACCAATTGAAACCTAAAAATGCACAGAGATGAGGGATGAAAAAGGAGAAGAGAGAGAGAGAGGATTAACCTCCAAGTTTCGCATAAGAAGAGAGTCGAACGTCGAGGTCTCCTTCTAATCTGCGGGCTTCCTTTCTCAGATCATCCCAGCTCATCTCCGCCATTCATGAAGCATTAATCCAATGGCACGTATTGCTTTGCAAGCTCTGAGAAGTAACGAGGTGAGCAGTAGAGAGAGTGGGGGAAGAGATGTGAGGGAGTTGAAGTTCGGTTGGTCTATAACTCCCTCTAGTCAAAGAAGAGTCACAAAACGCATGTTCCAAGCGTCCGAAATTTCGAATTCCAATGAATATTTCGGCATCAGAAATGAGCTTCGCTTGATTTAATTTTCCGTTTCCTTTATGGGTCCGTTGGGGCCAATATACCCCAAATTTTTACTAATACCTGTTTTTGTTGCTTCTAGTATATATAAAACTTGATTTTGAGCATAAAGTTGTTAGGAAGAATCCATAAAATATATATATAATACGTCATCTGTTGGCACTATGAAGATGAAAACTAGTTTTTGGTTGTTTTCTATAGTTTAGTTGTTGATTCTTACAATTGGATACACAAAATCATGATTTGTATATCCAGTTTCATAAATAGCGTTTGGCTCTAATATTGCCGCAAAGCTAGGTTTTTTTTATCCACATAATAGCCGAAAATGGTGACACATTTATTCCCAAAAATACTTGGAATTGAGAAAACCAAGCTTTGTACTATTTCAGTTTTCCTCCTTTCTCGCGCTGCCTGTTGCTTATTTCCTCATCTTTTTTTTATTCTCTCTCTCAATATGTACAGAGCTCTCTCTCCCTCATTGCAAGCACGACCGACAAGCTCGTCCTCCCCATTCAACACAAACATTGAAGTTACGAAACCCATAAATCCATCGTTCGTACTTTGATCAACACTTTGAGCTCCATTATTGCTACTTTTGTTTTAGAGTCGGCAACCTCCCTTCCACCATGAAAACCCGAGTTTGATGTATGTATTTTGAGCACTGTGAAAATCGTTTTTCCCATGAACATGCTCATCGAATTTAAGCGTGATTTGACTTGGTACCGGTGAGATATTTTTATCGAAAGTCACTGCTCGTGACTATCCCTTCAATAGTGTAGAGTTGCAGGGTGGCCGCACGGGAATAGCGTGCGACTCCTCCTGTTTCCCTCCTTTGCCTGTAATTTATTCTTGGAGTGTTCGTTCGAGCTGAAATTTGACCCTTAAGGGTTTTCAACCATGCCGGATCTAATGGTAGTGGTCCGACAGTAAGATATTGAGAATGTAGCTCTAGTTATAGAGGCCGATTCTACTGCCTTAGACGTTTCGAAATGCAATGAAACTATGCGGGAGACTTTTGAGAGACCTCATGATGATCTTGGCTAAGTTTCTAGGCTATTCTGAGACTGTCAGGATTTCCACTGTTTGCTAGGATTTTATTCAGCGTGGGACCCATGATGATGAAAAATATCTTCCAACAATGTGATGTCTCAGCAAAGCCCACTTAGCAAGGTGTCTCGACAAGCAGGGGCGTGTGATGAGAAACTTTACAGAATCTGATTTTGAGATAATTTTTACTTGATGACCAAGCAAGTAATGGCGAAGCATTTGTACTACAAAGATTAGGGTTAGACACATCTTCTCTATAGAGGGATAATTCTTCTCGGCTCCATGCATCATGCAACTGAGATAGTATAACATGGTCTCTTTCCCTTCATCATTGTTGTGTGTATATAACACCCCAAGTGACTCGTTTAGGGTGGTCACATAAAGGATGAGAGGTTTTCCCAGCACTGGTGTAGTGAGCATTGGAGGATTGAGTAAATATCGCTGATGTCATCAAGGGCCTCCTTACATGCCTCCTCCCAGTTGAATGGGGTATCATTCTTCAATAGGTTCTTAAAAGGCCTACAGCCACTTGAGAGGTTTGAGATGAACCTGCGGATATAAGCCATCAGCCCTTGAAAGGATCGTAGCTCTTGTAATTTTGTTGGTGACGGCATTTCTTGGATCTCCTTGATCTTAACTGGCTCAACTTCCAGCCCTTGGTGACTAATAATGAATCCTAAGAACGTTCCTGAATGCACTCAAAAAGCAAATTTTATTGGGTTCATCATGAGCTGATGAAGGCGTAATCGTTCGAACACCTTTTCAAGGTCTTGCATATTAGCATCTTTATCTTCAAATTTTACCACCAAGTCATCCACATAACATTCCACCTCTTTGTGCATCATGTCCTTGAAGATGGTTGTCATTGCTCTCTGATATGTGGCACCAACATTCTTCAATCTGAAAGGCATCATTGTGTAGCAGAAGACCACTTTTTGAGTCAAGAATGCAGTGACGTCATCATCTTCTGGTGTCATCCGTATCTGATTATACCTAGAGTATCGGTCCATAAAGAAGAAGATCTGACAATGAGCTGTAGAATCAATGAGCATCTCTGTAAATGGCAACGGGAAGTCATCCTTTGCGCAAGCGGTATTTAGGTCACGAAAGTCAATACAAACCCTAATTTGGTCGTTCTTCGTCTTGACTGAGACAACATTTTCCAGCCACTTTGGGTACTTGACTTTGCGAATGAAACCCGCTTACCTGAGCTTCGTCACTTCAGCATTTATCTGCATTTCGAGGTCAGGCATGAACCTCCTTGATTTCTGCTTGACAGGTTTAACGGATTGATCCATGCCATGATGGTGGACTGCGAGTTGAGGCAACTCATGGTAATGTCAGGCAAAGACGTCTCGGTTTGCTCACAAGAAGGTAGTAAAATCCTATTTCTCTTCTGACGACATATTTTCTGAGATAAAAGTGGGCCTAGGGTCGGCTTCATCTCTTAGGTTTATGTCCTCGAGCTCATGAACTGTGGCTTGACCGCCTTCTTCCCATTCTTCTGGGGCCTCTAGCAACTCTTCATCATTGGCTTCGTAACACTTCTTGTTAACCTCTAGTGAAGATACCCACACTCCCGGCATTTCTTTTTCGAGCTAGGCTTTGCTATGGAACATGGTTCTTGCATCCTCATCTTGCTTACCATCAAAAGGATCAACCTCGAGCAGAATTGATGTATCTGGTCGAGAGGATTCATTCTGAGGTTCTTGGGACGGTTGGGACTCAATGATTGTATAGACAACAAATGTCTCATGAGAACCTTCCTGATGTTTCCTTGTATTCACCATGGGTCTAGGTAATGTGGTCGGTTGAGGGTCAGGTTTAGAAGGAGGGGGTTGAGTATATGGGACAAGAGGCATCCCAGGAAATTGGAGGATAGGTGGATTACCCTTGGTATTTGGGCTAGGAAGAAGCCCAAGGACCTTGAGAATGGGTAAATTGTTTGGGGTATTTGGGCTAGGAAGGAGTGGTGGACCAAGATACTTCAGGACACTTGGCCTCTGAGGTGGAGGTTATAGTGTTTTCTCCATTCTTAGGCTCATTTGCCCCGTGTTAAGTGAAGCTTCTGAGATTTGCACCATGTGACAGACTTCTTGAGAATAGAAGCTTTGCCCCTCTTGATTCTCTCAGCCTCTGCTCAAAGTCGGGCTTAGGGAGCCACTGGGGTTTCTTCGGTTTGACTTCTTACGCTTCTTAATAGAAGAGGATGGCTCGAACTTGGCTCGAGTCGCCAAGGCATCAGCAATTGTTAAGAATCCAGTTGCTTGGGCTAACGTTTATCTCAGCCATCTCCAGTTCTCTGTCTAGAGCCTTGAAGTCTGGACATTCCCGAGTTATACCTGCAGGAGACACAGAAGAGGAAGGGGGAGGAGAAGAAGAAGAAGACAAGGGATTAGCAAGTGAGGAACTTTTAAGGTCATTTTCTTCATCGGACCGATTTGAGTAGCTTTTTATGTCATCGCCAGAGTTGGACGTGTGCAAGGAGTCTTTTAGGTCTTTCCCCTGCTTAGACTGTTGGGGGTGTTTTTAACTTCGTCACCCTCATTGGATGTGCCCTGAGCAGAAGAGGGCTCAGGGGTGTCCTCCTAATGAGATGATGAAGCAAGGATGATTGCGTCGGGGATGAAGTCCTGTAAGGTCGGTAATGGAGGAAGAGATCTTAGAAACTCTTACTCAACGAGTGGTTGAGGAATCTTGTTGCTTCGGTGAGCAGCCCTTGATGCCCATCGCTAGGTCTGTGAACATCCCTAGCTTGATGAACTTTCTCTCACTTTAAGAACTTGAGTCTGCTTCACCGGCGGTAGACTCTCCAAGGTTTAGAAGTTGAGGGTCCAACAAGAATTGATTCATCATTACTCGGGTCTTGTGTCAGGAGGCCCTCTCACTCCGGTGGACCAGTGAATTGGGGATCTCCTTTTGGATCGTTACAAGCTCCTTGGCATCCCTGTATTTTCTTCACCATTATGTGGTGGAAACTGGAGCACTCGCTCAGGTTGTGGCCCCATATCTGATGGTACGGGCACCAATGGTTCTTAGTTCCCTGAGCAAGGTGTCGGGGATGCCTTGCCAGTTTTTGTATGATGAGGTCTTCTTGAAACATCATGACAAGCAAGGTGCGAAGGACATCAAGAGCTTCATCATCCTCTGGGACTGTCACCGCGTGGGAAGCTTTTGCTGCCTCAAATGCTTTCTTTAGCTCTTTGATCTTTATCTGCCCTTCTAAATCAGGGCTTCAATGATGTCTTTTAACGTGTAGCAATCCTCTGTGGGGTGGTTTAGCCTCCGATGATAAGCACAATAATTTGCATGGGTGTCGAGTCCAGCTTGATCAGGGAACTTAGTCTCAGGCAGCTCGATCATGTTTTGTTTTAGTAATAGTAGGAGTAATGCGGGAACCCATTCCTTTTCAAAAGGGTAGACTTTGTTCTTATTCCTGGCCTAATAATCATCTCGATTAAGGTTCGTAGGTGGGGGTACTCAGTTGTATTACTGTTGTTGTTCACCTGGCTGAGGCGCTTTTGTTTTGCTTACCCCTTTGGAGAGGTCTAAAGTTTGGGAGGCAGCCTTCTTTTGATCATTGACAGTGACGACTGTGCTGATTACCTTTTTTTGTTGATTGCACCAGGCATTGGTCTGAGCACTACCATTGCCCCGGTAGTTTCTTGAGCTTGCAAACTATTATTGTGACCAACCATGGTGGCGTGACAGGCTTTCTATGCGATCTGACTTAGAGATCAGCTCTGACATGGAGGTTGGATTGGAGGCCTGAACATGTAGAGCGATCTCAGGTCGCATGTTTCGCACACAGGTTTGAACTACTTCCTTCTCAGGCATGGGATTAAGATGGTAAGCAGTTA